AACCTCCTCCACCCCCTCACCTGCACTTACCACCTCACACCCATTTTCATGCTGCCTCCTGATTGCTTCAAAACCCTACAGGAACATGTCACATATCCCTAGGAGTTCCACTTTCCCTGATCCTTTGCTCTTCTATGATCAAACTTGGACAGTTCTACATTTTATTCCCTCAAGGGGAAAGAGGAGCCATGATCTATGATAAATTGAAAGTACCACTTCCAAATATGAATTTTCTCAGGGCATCTCCTAGATAACACTTTGGTCCATGAAACAAAGCAGAGGAGATATATGGGGGCAAAGATGGATCTCCACACTCAAGCATCAAAATTCAACACTAATACCCCCTTCTTTTCATCTACTATTTTATAATTCTTTTCAACATTCACAGAGCACGTGTGATGCAGCACAAGGAATATAAAGATGAATACAAAATAGTCCCCATCCTCGAGGAGATCAAAAGAATAAGGAAGGGCAGGTACACAAAAGTATAATTATTATATCTTAGGCTAGTGAAATTAGAGGGAGAATAGGAAAGTGCCCAGGAGAGATTTACATGAGGGGAGAGGGTATGGTAGAGTAGAAAGTAAATGTTAAAGGATGAATTAGAACTGGCCAAGTGAAGGGGTGCACAGTGCATTTAAGAGTTGCTGGGATACGAGAGAGAGAGAGAGAGAGAGAGAGAGAGAGAGAGAGAGAGAGAGAGGAAGCAGACAAGGAGGAGGTCAGAGCTTGTACCATCCCCTGCAGAGTATGAGAAGCCTTTGGAGAAGGATGGTAAGCAGGGGAGAGGCAACAGATGTGTGAACGGTGGTGGCTATGTAGAGCATGGATCAGCAGGGACAAATGGCAGGTCAGGGCCCCTTAGGAACTATTGCAGCATGCCAGGCAAGAAATGATGAAATCCTGAATTAAGGCAATGGTTGTAGAGACAGAGTGGCTACGTCATATTTAAAAAATATATGGCAGTATCCTTTAAGAAGAGGAAGAAGAAGAAAAAGGTAAAGATACAAATTATGAACAACAAATACACATCTATCAACAAGTGAATCTAAAAATCAAGTGAATAAATAATCTGATGAACAGAATAAACTGGTGAATATAATAGAATCAGGGGCATAGAAAGGAAGTGGACTGACTATTCTTGGCGGGGAAAGGAGTGTGGGGGGTGCGGGAAGAGACTGGACAAAAATCGTACACCTATGGATGAGGACAGTTGCGGGGGGCG